GTTAATAAGTGATAACAACTGAACAGATCATAGCAATGTTCAAACTCAAGTTACTAATACATGCCTAACTGAAAATGTTAAAAGTTTACACATAAAATACACATAATACAACGTTTGCATTTAAAAATCACCTAAGTTAATAGTCTCAAAAGGTGAAGCCGGTTGTTATTGGGATTTTGATTTTGATTGCGATTTTGATTGCCTTTTTCTTGACACCATATGAGCTTTGGATTTTGATGAGGATCCATATTTTGGTAGAGGAAAAGATGATTGTGATGGCACTGGTGATCCATATGTCAACCTTGTATGACCACTTTCCTTGCACCGACTACATGTCGATCTCTTCTTCTCTTCACCCTTAGATGGTATATGATCGTGACTTTTTGGTCGGCCAGGTAGCCTTCTATCCATGGCTGGTGGCAAAACTGTTTGTAAGTCATCTGGCATGTCCCACTCAGAAGGATGTGGAATAGGGTAGATAATCTCGGCATAAGTCTGTCGATATACTTCTGTAGTGTAGCAATCCATAGCGTATGCGCTTGAATCATCTTGGTTTAGATGAAGCGCAACTTTTATAACATGGTCACACGGATAACCAGATGTTTTCTATTTCATACAACTACACGTCTTTGCGTTTAGATCGACAAGCCCATTTAAGTTATTATCCAGTACTTCAAACAAAGTGTTTGAACATGGTTCAACTCTCCATGACGTTGACTTCATAACACGTTTCGTTATCTTTTTTTCAGTCCATGGTGTAATACGATGTTCCAATGTTCCTGTAAATTTAAATAAATAATACTTAGTAAAATATATGATAAGTTACGAATTTAAAGAAATAATACCTGAATGGTTTCTTTTCTTGTAGTACCACTGTTGAATAGAGGCTCGAAAAAACTCCATTAACATAGTAATGGGTAATTTCCGGGAATGACGACTTAGAGCGTTGATTGATTCTACACTATTAGACGTCATGAAACCATATCTTGCTCCAAGTTGATGTACTCTTGACCATCTTCCAAACCCTACATCTTCTAGTGTTTAAGCACACTAAGGCAAAACACGTCTTAAACAATTTATATGCTTATTAAAATCCACTTCCCAATAAGCTTTTACAGCCTTCCAGTATGTCCATTTGTGATTTTTTATACCAGCAGACATTGATTTTAGATTTCTATACAAATAAACACCACAAAGTCCATGAAAAGCATATGGAAAACACCTTCTAATAGCGTTGTCAATTGAGTTTACCCTATCGGATATGATTGTCAGATTGCTAATAGGACCTATGTAATCCCTAAGATGCCCCATAAACCATGTCCATGAATCAGAGGTTTCAGATTTGCCAACCCCGTAAGCTATTGGCAGTATCCCATTGTTAGCATCCATGGCTACTGCTAATAAGTTTACTCCAAGGTATCGACCTTTTAAATGCGCTCTGTCAACTATAATAACTGGGCGCATGCAAGTAATAAATGAACGAATCTACAAAATCATATACACAAGAAATATAATCATTTAAATGTGAAATGCATGTAACTAACAAAAATGAGTCAACAAAATTATATTGATTTACTAACCGCAGCACCAATGGCAATAAACAGCAACTCAAAGCGTCCATCTCTATCTGTTTTTATATGAGTTACCGACCCAGGATTTTTCAGCTTTAAATTGTGACAATAAGCCAGCAGTTGGGCAAACGATGCTTCTGGCGACCCCCTCAACAATTCCAAGGCATAACATTTGGCTCTCCAACTTGAGAATATGAGATACTAATCTTGAACCGAGCATTCATGTCAGTCATAATTTCAAGTTCCCGATATACCTGCCATTCAAAAACATTAACTCAGCCAGAAAACCACCCAACACCTTTTTGTTTGCCTGTCTATGGTGAGGAAAAACTTGGGTTCTTGAACATGTATGTTTATCAATAAAAGTCCTAACTTGAAACATTTCGTAATCTTTTATCCTCTTTGCAATCATATGCCACGTACAGTTTTTATCAATCATACACCTTGTTTCGAAACGATCTTTGTTTGATTTGTTAACTTTTAGTTGATAGCCATCTTCCACACATTTCGTATACAAAGCTATCTTCAAGTCTTCATTTGTATCAAAACAATCATCTTTCTTGATACGAATAATTTTTGTGTAACAATCAACTGCTATTTTTACAACTCTTCTTCCGGTATCTGAAGTAATTCTGGCATATTCCAGTTATACTCCCGTGGCATTTTCTTCGGGGATTTCTTCTTCTTTTTTCTTCAGGTTATATGAATTACAGAATGGATGATTAACATGTTCATTCACAGTCGTAACTTCCTCCTCATTATCATCAACAACATCTTCCTCGGCATCGGCTGTTTCATCATCAAAATTCGGGTATTGACCAATATCAAAATCATTACACGTAGGGTCTGTTTCTTCTTCTGAAACATCATCAAAATCCGAGTATTGACCAAGATCAAATTTGACCAAGATCAAATTTGAATCGACTAGTACTCACAATTTTTTCTGTTGGCTCATCATCGTCTAACTGGTTAATACGAAAACTGAAATTTGGTGCTGAAAGTTGATTGGGATTTGGATTAGGGAAAGGTTGTGGGTTTTGAGATTGTGTTTGGTATTGGAAATGTGGTGAAACAAAATTTGCTTGGTGATGAAATTGTGGTGGAACCATTAAATTTTGAGCACCATAAACTGGGGTTGAAAAACTTAGTTGATTACTACCCGCTACTGACCCAACTACTTCTAGGTTCAACAACATACAATGTAACATCATCTTGCGAAACACTAATGTAAGCAATGAATCGTTCAATATCTTCATTGTCGGTTAACAAATAAACTTTACTTTTCCTTTGATAAGATAGCCTAAATCCACTTAAGGGCTCTAAATTCAATTTATTTGCAACACGTAACATTAGAGTTTCATAAGTTAACTTTTTTAATGACAGTTTTAGTTGAAGATTCATGGGTAAAGGCATATATTGTAAAACACCATGAACATTCTCCCATGACCCTCCAAAACATAAATCTATCCAAACATGATCAACATTAGATGATTTCATTATTGTAAATTAATTTAATAAACAAACGAGCTGCGAAGCTAAAACCTGTTGCCGGATGGGGAAGGATGTCGTTGGATATAGGAACGGATGTCGCCGGAGAGAGTGATAGATGGAGATGGAATGAGTTGCGATTTAGGGATTTAGGTTATGAGTTGCTTCTGCTGCGTAGTTATATATCCAAAACATTTGTGTTGCGAAACTAAAACCTGTTGCGAATTTGAAATTCAGTGTTGCGACAGTCAGAATCGAGTTGCGATTATGTATTATCGCGTTGCGATAGTCAAAATCGCATTGCGATTATGTATTATCGCGTTGCAATAGTCAGAATCGCGTTGCGATCATGTATTATCGCGTTGCGATAGTCAGAATCGCGTTGCGATATTCGCATTGCGATAGTCAAAATCGCGTTACGAATATGGAAACTGTTTTGCGATATTGGAGATCGCGTTGCGATTTAGAGATCGCATTGCGATTTTGTTGGTCATTTTGGCAAATCGAAAAAAAATTGGTCAAAATCGTATATTATAAAGAATTTTCGGTCACTGAGGTTATTTTCTCTATTTTTAAATATTTTTCTTAGCCATAATTTTTAAAACACTAAACTCTTTTTTAAAAACCTAAAATGTATACACAATTGAAATATGATTTTAGAGGTGGTTTTAGTGGGATGCACAATGCGATGGAAGTGTCTTTCGCTATTTCGGCCATGTAAGCCAAAGGTGCTACTAACTAGGAGCAATTTCGGTGAAGCGTGCCTAGTTAGCCTAGTTTACGTGACTGAAATGAATACTATTTTTTAAAATGATGTATTTATGTACTATTTTCATAATAAAATAAGAAATGGGTATTTTTCAGTAATATTGCCCAACTATATTAGTTCATGTATGGTGAATTCCACTAGTGCCTCTACCGCTAGTCCTATGTGATAGGATACTGTACCCTAGCCGTATAGGTCACTCATATGCGGAACCTATTTAATTCTGAAGATATTTATTCTTATGTGAACCACCTCAGATTTTGCATATCAACAATTCATACAAATAATAAGTATAAATATTGAACCCTGCTAAGTAAGTTGGAACAATTAACATCTAAAATATTTATAACAGAATTAAAGCTCCTTTCTCTATAATAAAAATATTGAACCAATCGGTTTCATTGTTCTTGCAATGGTAAAGTTGAACCAAGAGGTCCATTTTTCTTCAAAAAAAATACTTACGAATTACAGAAGCCATTCAAGGTGGGCGCTCCTTCTCAAACAGCAAAAAATTACATGCTATTTTACGCCATGGCCGGTATGGCAGGACGATGGAAGTATCTTATGATTGAGTTGACCTTACCGGCTATCGGCATCGCTACTGAACTGAGCATTGAACATAGTACGGTTTCTATCAGAGCTGCTAAAGAAATTGTGTTGAACATGGGTACCAAGTACCTGTCAGTTCAGATGAAATCATGCAAGTCATTGAAATAAATGATTAAAACATGCATCGGATGCCATTCGATGCCAGCAACATAGCTTAAGGTTCTGTTTCTTTTCAGACGAGGGCAAATGAATAGACTGGTGAATGTGTTAGTTTCGAAGAATTCCGGGGCCAAAACAAATGAAGAAATCTCCGCTTGGGCGTAACTGTTGGATATGAGTTTGTGTTCTACATGGGTATATTCAAGGTTTTCGACCTTTTTACAGGTCTGGATATGCGTCAGGCATAGGTATCAGACATCGGTGCTTCAAGAAAAATGAAGAGGCAGAGTAACATAGCTCAATACAGTCAAGTAATAACTGCTAACAAATTTCAGATAAGGGAAATCACTGTCCAACTGTCCGATATACAGCAGGGATTGCCTCTAAGGTCCAAGGTTAAAGATCAAAATTGTAGTCAGATGTAAAGAAACATGGATTAAGGAGTCTCACCGTAGCAAGATGATGTATCAGTGTTTGAATGTTTTGTGTATGGCTAAACCTGTGTCTTGCATCATAGCCACAAACTCGCTATAATCGATACGTCCATCCTGAAGAGAATACATCAAGATAATCGATGTAAGTATGAAACATCAATGGTATCTTTAACCAAGATAGTATTTTTAAAGTGAAATGAAAGTTAAAAAGTCAGCTTGTTGGGTATCTACATTATCCTGGTCGACTTCGCGTATTACATCTTCCAAGTGAACATCTTCCAAGCCAAACTGCTCACAGGCCTGTTGGAGCTCATCTGGCGTGATGTAGCCACTCCCATCTTTGTCGAAGTAGTTAAAAGCTGCAAAAAGATGATCCTCTTTTTGGATCTTGTTTAGATGAAGCATGGCCGCTATGAACTCGCTATAGTCTATAGTACCACTGTTATCAATATCTGCCTGCAGTTTTTTTAAAAGAAAATAATAACAAATCAGCAATAATGATTGAGCCTAGGAGCTTGGCTTGTCATTCTTACACCATGCATATCCAGGTTGAGCTCACATTTGACATGATGAATGGAGAATGTAGTTTCAAATGTAGAAAAAAACTTTATTTTTCTAACAACTTGAGCTATCCTCCGATTTCTTGATTCTTCCCCCACATCTCAATTAATAGTTTACTAATTTGAGTTTTCAAATATTTTTATAACACTTAAAAAATCTGATTATCTGGATCAGATAGGCCTATGCACCCCATGCATCTTTAGCATTGGACCTACTAAAGTCCATGGTTCGCACTTAATGATAAAACAGGAAAAGGACAGATTTTTTCAGTGAAAAGAGGCTTACTGCTTGCATTAACCCATTGATCTCAGAATCCCTGAGATGAGAACCAACTTTTTCCAAACCGATTTTCAGTTCCTCAAGAGTGATATTCCCACTATTATCTGCATCTATCATCTTAAACATTTCTTTCAGGCCTGCAATTTCCTCTTCTGATAGGCTATCAGCAATGACCTAAATCGATAAATACAAATTTTGATAAGAAATTTGTATATATATAAAGATGTCATGACCCCTGAAAAACTAAAAGCGTTTTGCAGCAACTGCATGATATAATAAGTGCATTAAGTATCTAATTTGATAAAGATTCTTACTCTTTATCATTAAGAAGTTGTTTAGTCCATTCAACATGTTTGATTCGTGCATGTTATTGGGTATAAACACAATTCAATTTGGAAAATCCTCCACAACTACTATGAACTTCAGATAGTTGACATGAATCTGGGTACTAACCCTGATGGCAATTTTCTTCAGCTTGTTCATTGCAGAAAATTGCTTCAAACGAGATAGGACAGCGGAATCAAGAGGTTGATCTGGAGCAATGCCATCCTCCTGAACCCAAGGGTGACCTGCCAAGATACAGGAAGGTAAAAAATCCGTATACAGTAAAGTGACAGTTAATGCAATACATCAGTTTTGAATTCTTTTGAACAATGATAAAATGCTTTCACGCAGACGAAATAATTGGTCTTGAAGAAGATAAATTTTGGTTTTTGTTTGACAATATAAAGAATGTGATAAATCCAGGTGTTTAGAGTCCTTGGCTTATGTTGCAGGAATGTCAATTCTTCTTAAGTAACTGAAACGAAATTCTCCAGCCATCCAAATTCCTTGTGTTTTAGAATAGATTTAATGCTTGTTGTCACGAGGATATTCACTCAAAGAAGAAATGTAAACCTATGGTGCTCTGATTCTTTCATTTCTTGAAGTACTTGTGTACTAAGCCTGTGACCGAGGCGTATCTAGACATGGAAGATATGTACTTCCAAGGACCCACCAAGAACATGGAAAAGAAAAAAATTGAACATATCCGTGTAGGACACATAACCGGTTTTGGGAAACATATATAAACTTCTTTGCAACATGCTAAAAGTAAAAGGGAATCAATAAGTGAAGAAGGAAATTATAAATGTGTGAAAAGTTAGCTCTACTTGTTAACAGGCGTCTTCCAATTTGCATTGTGAAAATTATTGAAGAAAACGTTGGATTCTAAATCATAAGCCAAGTGAATGAGCTAACCGTCATATCATAGTTGCATAATCAGTTGAGCCTTTACATAAATTCATTAGTTTAACGAAGGGTTGGTCACATACACATACTCCAACCTAACCAAGATTTGATGGAATGCATCCCTGATGTCTTACTGGACTATGGTTTTTAATATGCAATCACTCACACTACAGAAACAATCACCAGTTCATAATCCTAAAATTGTTAAGAATAGTTACTATGAAGTTTCTTGTAACTAATCCTGACACGATTGACTCGTTTAGATGCTCAGCCAGCCCATCAAGCATGCCAGGCACATTTAGCAGAAACTGTAAAGTTCAGCTCAGACATTTGCAGCCACATTCACTGCAGGCCAACATCAACTCGTCTCCAAGACTCCAACTTCTCTGAAGATTGCTGTGAAATCTATCATCTTGGATCTCAGGTATAGAAAGGGATTGTTGGAAAATGGGAAACAAGATGGAAGCAAAGACTATTTTTCAACTTGTAGTTAATAGAATTGTGTAATGTAAATCATAAAATGTTACACTTTTTGTCATTCACCTTCAATATTAGGTCATAATCTACAACTTCAGATAAAGTAGTTTCAAATTGAACTTCTAAGATAAACCGGACAAAATATTTTCTTCTCTAAGCAAAACTTAAGTCACCAGCTTCTAAGATACCCACATCTAGGTGGTTCTTAAATGATCATTCGCTAAATGAACAATTATTCTTCCATTTCCATACAAAGCTAGATTAACAGCATGACAACATGCATCCATTTTTAGCCAAATCAAAGCTGTTTCTGGAAAGTATATCCAATGTAACTCTCCAATATGTGGTGCTCCAAAGGATGAACATTCAGTTGAAATAGACAGAACAACATCAAGGCTTTCCAGATAAATAATATTCAAGTTCACCATCTGTGCTTTAAATAACAGAATGACTAGAGAGAGAGGAAGATCTACGCGTACTCACAAAGAACTTCATAGGCTGTAAACCGCTTTTTAGGGTCCTTTACGAGCATTCGTTTAACCAAGTCCTTAGCACTGTTAGAGATACTTGGCCATGGCTCTGTTGTAAAGTCGGGTTGGCCTCTCAAAACCTGCTCAAATATCCCTTGCTCTGTTTCTGATAGAAAAAGAAAAGAAATAACATCCGTACCCGTAAATGAGATGGAATTCAACCGTTCCTGTAAGCATTTACGGTGCTTCAAACCATTGAACCACAAGCAGCAAACACTCACCGTCCCAGAATGGGGGAACTCCACAAAGTAAAATATAAATGATCACTCCAGCACTCCAAACATCACATTCTGGACCATAGTGCTTCAGCAACACTTCAGGAGCCACATAATAGGGACTTCCAACCACATCATTGAATACTTGACCTAGAGGAAAAAGGATCAGTTCCCAGACAATAGAGTAGACTGAAATAATAAATTTTAATGAAATCTACTATAAAGATGACTGGCACCATGTAAATGAAGACAATGAAGAGACTGAGTTTGCTAGATATGACCACACTCAAAAGATGAAGAATGGTTATGCGCTGGGCTAATCTATATAACTACTTCAACATAGACAAGAAAGGTGACGTAGACATTGCACTAGCTCCTATCCACCCCCTCCCCAACCCCCACCTTTTTCCCTTCCCCTCTTTGCTTTCTTTGCTACAAGAAATAAACTGCAAGGTCAATGTGATGTTCTTTTCAAGACAGGTAATTATTTCTTTCTAAGTCTGCACTGGTGGTCTCCTTCAGGATTGCTAATGTTGCTGTAACATGGAACCAAAACTATTTTATACCAAAAAGATTTCCATGATTGCACATGGCAATTACAAGAACTGGATATACCTCTCTGTAGTAATTAAGAATTTATTAACAAATCGAATATAACGGAATTTGTGACTTTTAATCCAAGATAAAACGAAAACCGGTTAGACATTTAGCACACTATCAGTTGGGTAAGGTTTTTGAAATTCACTTAAAAGATAAAGGAATTACAGGACATATTATTCTAGCAATTGAAAATTCTGATTTCCTCGTATGCTTGAGAGGCAAGCTTTATCATACTCACAGTTGGAAGGAAGAACGAACATTTGTAATATAAAATTAAGAATTAGGAATCTGTGCACAATAATTCCATAGATAAAGTGACAAATATGTCAAATGACAAAATTTGGTCCAACTGTCCCATAAGATAACAAAATGTTGGACATTTATCTAGCTGCTATTCATGCGCCGAAAAGATTATCTATGACTGGTGTTAACCATGTTTATAACAGCAAATTGGGAAAAAAAAGATCAAATGGTTCCATTAGAGACAATTTAATTAAGAGTTCCTAAGTCTAATGAGACTACACGATTCTTCACCAATGAACAAAAAGTAAAAGTGTGGCCGCTAGGGTAATACCTGGCTTGAAAAACATTGAAAGCCCAAAGTCGATTGCTTTAAGTGGTGCATCCTCTCCCTGGTTAACGAATAGGAAATTTTCAGGCTTGAGGTCACGATGCATAACACCAAGAGAATGGCATGTTTGCACAACGGCGGCCATTATCCTGGCGAGTGCAGCTGCCTTTCTCTCAGTATAATGCCCTCTCTGAATAATTCTATCGAAAAGCTCCCCACCAGCACAATGCTCCATAACAACATAAACAGCCACAGCATCTTCATAAGCACCAATGATTTGTATCACATTTGGGTGACCTGATAAATGGTGCATTATATGAATTTCCCTTCTAACATCATCCAGATCGTCGTCGAGGTCAGCTTCCTCTTGGCAATGGATTTGCAGGCAAACTCTTTCCCAGTGCATTTCTCCACACATAAAAACGTTGTGCCAAATTGTCCTTGACCTAACTTACGCCCCAAGCTATATATTTCTTTAATATTCCCAGTTTTCCTTCCTAACACTGACTCGCGTTGCATGGTTGTCAACCTTTTGATTTGCTTTCGGGGTTTCGGCTCTTGTTTACTTCGTTCATCCTTCTTCGATTCGTCGTTCGGGATCTTAACCAGATCAGGGGCAGCGTTATTGGCTGCATCGGAACCAGCATTTCCATCATTACCCCCCGGCAACTCGTCAGCCGGCCTTTGCCGCCAGACCGCCTGTGTGACAGATTGAATAAATCCATTGGCACCACCAGCATTAGTTGGTCCTGCACATGCGTTCCCCATCAAAATTTCCCAGATCCTCAGGTCCTTGTAATCATCAACTCCCTCTTTTGAATCCCAACATCAAAATGGGTGCCTGATAATTCCATTAAAGAGCAAACGAAAATCGGAAAAAAAAATCAATGGCCTAGAACAAACCCCATATTCCAGCGTTTTTTCTTGTCCAAACAGCCTCTTCTAGGAAAACTCACAAACTGCATGCATCCATCAATCCAAACAAATATATCCCGGATCCTGATTTCTTTCATCAATTCAATGGGACCAAAAGCTTTTGAATTTGTTCCAAATTTGAATAAATCCCGAAAACGAAATTTAATGGGAAAGAAATTCGTAAAGAAGAAACGAAGAAGATAAGCAATGGAAGCTATAAGATGAGTTCACAAAGAGATCAGTTTGCTTTGAATTCCGTCTCTTTTCAAAAAAAATGCAGGAGACTTCCACATCCGTGTTATTTGATGAATGATGAAGAAACAGAAAAACAAAAAGATGGTTAAAATTTCATGATTACATTGAAAAACATATTATTACAATTTGTATTTATTGGAATTAACATTAAAAAGAGGTGTTTTCCACTTTCCATGGATCGAATCACAGTGGTCATTAAATGGTTTTATTGCATGTATTGCATGGATTACAGTTCTTAGGATTCACACGTCATCATATGCAGCTCAGTTTTGTCCATGCTCCTTCCAATCGCTTTCATAAATAGGCATTTATACCAAGGATCGTTCATTAGCGAAAATTTAAGAGATAACACGTCTTCAAATTATAACTTCCCATTTTAAATTGATCTCTAAATTTTTAAATATTTTAATTTCATCCCTAAACTATAACTATCATTCTAAATTTATCCCCAAACTTTTGAGCATTTTAGTTTCATCCCCAAACTATGTCCTTCATTCTAAATTGGTCTCCAAACTTTTTGAACATTTCAATTTCATCGCAAACTATATGTATATACTAATCACATCTCATATTAACAAAATCGTTAGACCAATCTATATTATAGTTTGTTTGAAAAAAGATAAAAATATGGTTAAACTATGGTTGAAACTAATTATTTGGATGGATTTGGGGATGAAATTGGAAAATTTAAAAGTTTGGAGACCAATTTAGAATGAGAGTCATAGTTTGAGGATGAAATTGGAATGTTCAAAAGTTTGAGGACAAATTTAGAATGATAGTCATAGTTTAGGATAAAATTGGAATATTTAAATGTTTAGTGACCAATTTAGAATAAATGTCATAATTTGAGGGTGTGTGATACAATTAACTCAAAATTTAAAGATAAGTTTTTATTGGATCCATCAAGTGATTTCAATGATAAAAAGGGAATATTGTTCTTTCTAGAGGTCTTGGGTTCGAGCAACCGCATCTTCAGGATGTGTGAGTTATTAATTGGCTAAAAAAATTCTAGACAGACACTATATTGTAATCACATCATACTAATCAAAAAAAATCTTATTGAATGAAAACATATTACATTATTTTAAGTAATTAATTTAAACTTATTGATAAATTCTAAAATTAAAATTAAACTTTGTCAAACATATTATTTTATTAAGAAAATACGTTAAATACAATTAAAACAATAAAGAGCATCCAGTAACTTACAATATTATCAAACATATTATTTTCATTATGAAGGTGGAAGGTGAGACACTAAGCCGAAGCTTATGGTGCTCCCTCTCCTAAGTCGACTCTAACAAATGGTCACTAAACTATATTGAAATAATTGTTTTGGGTTACTGAAATTTCGAAAGATAAAAAACACTAATTATTATAAGGGTAAAGTATATAAATAGTCCCTGAATTTTTAGATCGTTTGCATTTTGGTCACTCAACTTTTAAAACTTGTAATACAATCACTGAATTTTTAGTTCGTTTTCATAAGGTCACTGACGTTACCTCCCGTTAATTTTATTTGACATGGCTGTTAACTCCGTTAACTCTTATGATGTTACCATTAACTCCGTTAACTCTTATGATGTGGCCGTTAACTCCTCCTCCTCCTCTTCTTCTTCTTCTTCTTCTTCCCAATTAAAACTAACAACAAACATTCAAAAGTGCAACAAATAGAACGTCCATTTCGCTTTTGTGAAGTAAAAAGATCAAATAGTAAGGAACACGATTATACAATTCCATGACACAAAAATGCAGCTTTCTAGTCTCTTCAAAGCATATAGTGTGAACACATAGCACTACGGTTGAACATATTAAACTTGTAGAAACGAGGAGAAAGAAACTCTATTATTAACCCTAAATTGATCCTTTACTTCTATATATATAGCTATTAACATTGACTAACTCTAACTTATTATCTAACCAACACGTACATATTCCTATATTCTGTTAGCCTCCCCTCAAGTTGGAGCATACAGATTTTGAATGCCCAACTTGAAAGTAGACCGTTGAAAAGAAGTTGTAGGTAGAGCCTTGGTGAAACAATCAGCTAATTGATTTTGAGGAGACTGGCATTAGAACAATCACACCCTGCTGCAGCTTTTGTCGAATCAAATGAAAGTCGATCTCTATATGTTTAGTACGCTCATGGTGAACTAGCTTTTCTGCAATGTGAATAGCAGAAAGATTATCACAATAAAGATTTGCTGACATAGAAGAAATATTCAAATCAGTAAGAAGAAACTGCAGCCATTGAATTCCACAAGTGACATCAGCTAGTGCTCGATATTCTGCTTCACTAGATGATCGAGAAATGGTAAAATCCCAAAAACAAACACCTTAAATTCCAGAAAATCTCAAAATACTCCTAAATTCCTAAAAATCTAAAAAAATCATAAACTCTAAATGTAATCCCTAAATTCATTCTAAAAAATGAACCTTATGATTTTTAGGGGTTACAATTAGAGTTTATGATTTTGTCCGATTTTTAGAAATTTATGAGTTTTTTTTAGATTTTCTGCAATTTAAGGTTTTTTTTGGGAATTTTAATAAGTTCATAGGTGTTTTAGAAAGTAACTTTTGGAATATTGACTCGTGTTTTGTACATAATGTTTGTATAACTTTATTAAAGATTTAAGTTGGTATATTGGTTAAGCCTTAACCTTTTTTTAAAAGGTCTTGAGTTCAAGTCCCTTCAAATGTATTATTTTACTAAATTTTCTCAAACAAAACTACGTCGTTTTGAGTCTTTTAGCACCGAACACAGTCATGCAAAAAATACATCGTTTTAGTAAGGATGACATGTCATCGTGTCGTTAAACCATTAAAGAAAAAGTGACATAATTGCAACTAAACTTAAATGTTAGTGTTTAATTGACAAAATTGAAACGATAATGACATAAACGAGCCTGAGCCTAAAGGTGAGTTGTATTTGAAGTAGTTTACCCATTTTTATATTAACCTATATGTATGCTATGGTTGTTTGAATAAGTATGCTAATTAACTAGATAAGTATAGTTGTGTATGCGTTAAGTGATTTAGAAAGTATGATATTATGATACGAAAAGTACGATACTATGATAATACACTTTATAATTACTATATGGTTTTAGTTAAGGAAATGATATGTGTAAGCCTTGCAAGTTAGTCTATCTTGTTTGTTGATATGTTATGCTTTCATGAAGCATTAGGAAGCATATTCATAGTGTTAGTATGTTAAAAACTTAAAATGTGATTCGAGGCATAAGCCCCGCAACATAACTTTTTAGTTGTAATTAAAAATGTTATAAATATGTATAACTTTTTATGTTGAAGATGATATTTTAAGTTGAAATATATAACATTTTAAGTTGAAATCGTCTTAAATTAACCTTTAAATTGAGTTACCGTACAGCAGAATTAAGAATTACCCGTTAAGAGTTCAGGTTGAAGTGAGATCACTAGGGTCTAGTTCTACTAGATCTCAAACTGATGCCAACGACATCAAGGGCGAATCACAAGAAAGTCTAATCATCAATATTGTTCGATAAAGATGGAGTCATTTTTAAGCTTTCTATAAACACATTTGTTGAGAATCAAGGTAGAATTAAGAGTAGTTTTGTTGTGCGAAAACTTAATTTAAGATGAATTTCAACCTAAAAGTTATATAAATTTATAATATTTTTAGTTGTGACTGAAAAGTTACATTACAAGCAATTTTGAACTTACAATAAAAAATGTCATGAATAATGTAACATTTTCAATTGAAACATTAAAAAAAGCACGTTGTTCAATCTAAAAATAAGATTTTTGGTTACAAACCCCAAAAAATATGAAGATCAAAAACACCTAGTGACCACAATCCCAAAAGCAATAAGAATTGTGTTCATAAAATATAAAATAGACATGAAAAATACATTTATTTTACCAAGGAAAAAAAATAAAGCTTCACGTTTTGATGTGTTGAAAATCACTTTGGTCACTCTCACATCTCACTCTGTTTCCAGCAATAATGATCAAAATAGTATCGATCAATGGTGAAAAAGCACACAGCATATTTTACCGTGAGAGAAAAAGTTTCTTCAATAATATCTCTACTGAAAACCCATTTTCATCACAAAGTAACTTGTCAATTTAAATAACCAACACAATCATACCACGTCCAGGAGACAAAATAGGTAACTCATAAAGTACTGATTAAAACTACTTAATTGTCCACTTCCATAGATTAAGCAAGCTCCTTCCAATTCCTCAACGATTGGCCTTGGCAACACGCTCAATTTCGTCCTTCTTCTTGATGGCATAGCTGCACAAGAGGCAATAACATCAACAAGAATGACGAGAACAATGATCCAAGCAAACGGAGGTGAAAAACCTAGACGACACATGAAATTGTGGTTCCTAGTTTCAAAGCAAAACAAGTTTCAAAAAACAGAAAGTTCAAAGTTCCTTATTTACCTGTTAGATGATCCCTTTGCGGCGTTAATCAGCTCATCGGCCAAACATTCAGCTATGGTCTTAATGTTTCTGAATGCAGACTCACGAGCACCAGTGGTAAGGAGATAAATGGCTTGATTCACACGACGAAGCGGAGAAATATCAACAGCTTGACGCCTTACAACACCAGCAGAACCAATACGAGTAGCATCCTCACGAGGCCCACTGTTACATCAAAAGCCAAAAACTTAAAAAGATTGATCCAATAAATCTACTTCAGAAACAATAGATCTATTAATTAGCATCACCTGCTACTTAAGAGGTTAACATCAGCTGGAACACTTGAAAGAGGAAATATTGAACTTAAGGTCTTATAGGCTACCTGTTGGTAACAGCATCAACGATGACTTGAATTGGATTCTGATCAGTCAGGAGATAAATAATTTCCATGGCATGCTTCACAATCCTGACTGCCATAAGCTTCTTCCCATTGTTTCGACCATGCATCATCAATGAGTTAGTAAGTCTCTCCAAAATTGGGCACTGAGCCTTCCTAAAACGCTTTACCGAGTATCGCCCAGCAGTGTGTGGTACATAGGTTGCATGCTTGGAAGGTTGAACACCAATGTAATCACTCAAAGAGATATCATTAACCTAAAATAAACAAATCATTCATATCAAGGATCAGGCGGCACAATTGTAATTATTAAAGGGAACATAAAGCGGAGGATCCTAATTCTATCAATTCAAATCTTAAGACACTTTGAAAGACAATCTAACACACACATAAAAACAAACAATTTCACAGAACATAAATACAAACTTTTAGTATACACATAAATGGTCAATCCGAGTCATAATTAACATCAAAGACGGCAAATAAGAGAAGGCTTTAAAACTCAGAGCACAATAATAAGGATGTTAAGTCAATCTGGATCAAGGGCATATACAGGATTTCTAAAATTTGAGGGGCCAACCTATAAAATTTTAGGGGCAAAAACAGATTATATGAAAAAAAAACACATATAAAAAATCTAAAATATACTCTAATTTGAAATTTTTAGTACATGGATTGACAAGTTCAAAACATAAATCCAATCCCTTGATAAAGCCATCACAAGATGATTTAGCAAATAATATTAAGCCAAAAACAATGAACTATTTTCTATGAAAACAGAGTTTTCTTCATTACAATTCCCTGGTCCTAGTAGATCCACTTGACTTCAAAAGGCAGAAAGTAAACAACACACATCATTTCAGATAAAATCTCAGAATTAACAAAGCCAAGAGAAGCACAAAAGAAATGTACAAAGACATAAACAGAAACAAAAGGGGAGAAAGAAATACTTGAACTTCCTCGAAGCTCCAGCGATTGAAGAGCTTGACGTCAAGTTGAGACTTGGTTGGGTCGGTCGACGAGTCTACCACGGCTGTCGCCATACCTATGAGAATACAAGAAAATGTAGATTCTGAAGAAAGGGAGAATCCAAGTGCGTCTGCAAGAGAAGCGAGCGCTGAGGAAGATAGAGGAGAAAAATCTCTCGTCTAATAAATCTTATATATAAAAATGATTCTTCAATTAGGGTTTTCGGTCCCCGCTATATTTATGTTTTCTTAATAGTTTGTAGGATAAATTACATTATTTTTCACTCAATTATTTTATATATCTTATTTTGGTCCTTAAATTTTAAATATATTTAATTTAATCACTCAACTTTAGAATTGTTCTGATTTTAGGGTACCTTGAGGAAAGGAGAGAAAGAGACAACTCCATGAAAAATGAGATTAAGAAGAGAATGGTAGATGGAGTTGATCTGTTAGTAAGTTAACTCGTTTCTAGGACATTCCTGAAGAATTCTCTCTGCTTCTAACGACAGTCGTTTATGGACGGAGATGACTAGAAAGGAATGGGCGGTCGTTGAAGGTGGAGGTGGGAGGCTTGTGATTTAGAGTTTGGTATACTTTTTGGATTTGGAGTTTTTGGTATAATGTTTGATTTTTAATTTAATTTAATTTTTATTTTAATCTACATATAATAATAATAATAATAATAATGTCATATATAGGAAAAATAATAAAATAAGTTAGAGTGATTTAAAAAAAGTAATTCAAAATTTGAGTGATTAAATTGAAATCTTTTAAATTTTAGTGACCAAAATAAAGTAAGAAGATAGTAGAGTGATGAATAGTGTATTTTACCCTAGTTTTTAAAGTATACAAATTTTACACTTTCATCTTTAAAGTTTTTCTTAGTCCAAATTAATCCTTAAAATAAATTTCGTTAGTTGGTTCGGTATTTTTTATTTGGATTATTATCTCATACATCAACGATAAAAAAATATTTTTATAAAAGTGACATCTGAAATACATTATCTTATATTCTTATAATATTTTATAATTAATATATTTTTATAAAAAATAATTTTAAAATAAATAAGCGTCATCTTAATCAGTCGTGACATCGTCAAATCCAAGCCTGAGAAAATATAAAATAAAAAAGAATAGTCAAATGACAGAAAAAGAAGACAAAAAACGTGTCACAAAGTAGAGAAAAAGTGTCATAAAGACAGGTAAACGTGTTATAAGGCTAGTTAAATAGTTTGCTATTTCAAAACGTAATTGATATATTTTTATATCCTTTAATCTATTTTAATAAAATATTATAAGAATATATTTATAATTTATATTATAATTAATATATTTTTAAATTATAATATAATGAATATATTTTTATTATTACCTTTTTATTCTTCTAATCCTTTAATCTTTTAATTCTAAAATATAAATTATAAATATTTGTTTTACGATTTAATATATTTTAATTGACATTATAAATATATTTTATAATTTATATGATAATTAACACATTATTTTCTTTTGAATCAATTGCATCATATGTCCCTGAACTAATAACTTCATTTTAAATTGGTTCTTAAACTTTTAGAGATGCAAATTTCATCCCCAAACTATGACTCTTATTCTAAATTAATCCTTAAACTTTTGAACATTCTAATTTCATCCCTAAACTATGACCCTTTTTCTAAATTGATCCCCAAATTTTTTAGTATTTGCATTTCATCTCCAAATTCATGCAAATATGTAAATAGTTCCAACCATAATTTAACCTACATTTTTTATATAATAATAAAACTTGGCCTAATGATTTTATTAACAGTGGATGTGATTAGTATATACAAATAGTTTGGGATGAAATTGGAATGTTCAAAAAGTTTAAGGACCAATTTAGAATGAATGTCATAATTTGGGGATGAAATTGAAATATTCAAAAGTTTGAGGACTAATTAAGAATGATAATTGTACTTTCGAGATAAAATTGGAACATTTAAAATTTTAGTGACCAATTTAAAAGGAGGGTCATACTTTAAGACATATGATGCAAGTAACTCTTTTCTTTTTTACTCTTTTTACATATTAATACTTTAAAATAAAATATAAATAATTTCATATAATTCATGTTTCAAACAAACTTATTGACTTAAGCCAAAAAGCTGGAAATATAATGCTTTTGCATTGAAAAAACTCATTGAAAAAACTTGTTTGGAGAAGCATTCCCAAATAAACCCTAAATATTTATCTTTTTTATGAATAAATAAAATGATGTCATCTATTATTATTCTATTAAAAATATTAATTTATTAAAAATAATAATATATATGATATATTAACTCAAATTACATTAAACATTTGAGCATGTTAATTCAATATTTTTAACAATAATAAAAAACATATATTCCTTAACCATTGAAATTCTAAAGAAAAAATTGAAATTTAATAATTAAAATATTAACAATTTTAAAATTCAATTATGTTTATACTAGAGTATTTGTTACAGTATCCACTGTAAGTTGTTTGGACCACATGGCGACTTCTGAAAGACACTTGAACAATCCGACGATTTCTAGAACACCACCAATTATCCCTACTATCGTGCATATATGAAGCCTGAAAAAGACATCCTGCATCTTAGACAATTTCCAGAGGTCAAAATATACTCTAAAAGACTTCTAATAGATATTATAGCGAACACCTTAGTTAAAAAAATATTTTTATACTATATATGACTATTTTCTCTCACTGTATTTTTAAATTTTTTGCGAGAGTTGAAGGAACAACTCATTAATAATGTATATTGGCGTTGTTTTCAAGCACTGACTCAATAATATAAAATTTCAAGCACTAACTCATTAATATAATGTAAACGGAGATTTGATTTACAAAATACAATTTAAATAGTTTTTGAATTAGATTTATTATATCTCAGTGAGCATATTAATGTCCGGTTCATATGATCGTTGAGCTTTTAACAGAAAAAGATTAGTTTGGAAATATGAATAGTTGAGTGAATATTTTATAACTTTTAATAATTGTGAGACTAAACAAATCAATGTTTTGTAGGAATCATTTTATAACTTTTAACACTCACAGACTAATTAAAGCAAGATCCTATAATTAAAATATCATTTGTGTATTTTATCTTTAAAATTAACGATAATAAATAAGAAGATATAGATTAAAATAAAGAAATAATCTCACCCAGTAACATAAACTTCAATCCACCGGTACCACATCAACTGTAAAAAAAAGTTTACCTGAACATGGGGATATAAATTTTATGAAGTAGAAAAAGGATTAAATTATAAGAATAATTAAAGTTTAGCAGAGAAATGAAATCCATAAAGAAAACATGGAACCTTATAGTTATATACTATTTGAAGAATTAGCTTCAAAAATTACTACTACCAGGAAAGATGGCCACCAACTGGAACAACCATAACTTCCCTGGTTTTTTTTCTTTGAAAAAATTCCCGATAAAAAACTAATTTTATTATTTTTAAGGTTAAAACATAAGCTTACCATGTATTAATCTGTAGTAATTTAATTCTTCTAGGGAGTTAAACAAAATTTCATCATTTTAGGGGGTCTTGTACAAGATATGCGATTGGCCGGTTAAAAAGTTGACAATATAAATAGATGAGATCATGGTCCAAATATTGGGCAAAATCAATCCAATAATGTAGGCAGACTAATTATGATTTTAACATAATTAATAACGTTAACGTTATCCCACTAGCCCAATAATATTGGCGTGACGAATTTCACCAGATATTATTATTTAATGACACATGTTAGTGGGTCTCGTTGGGTCAAATATTTTATTATTTTCATTGGGATCCGCATAATGAGTTCTATTAAAATATAATATTTTCTGCCAATGAAAATAATATTTTAAATAAATAAAATAATATTTTTAAAGAAGCATAAAATTCATCACGCCCACATGATGAATTCTATTTAAATATTTGAATTTACTAGTCGTTATATGAACGTTGAGGCAATGAGACAAAAAAAAATTAAATCCAATGAAATTCGTCATATAGGGGTGACAAGTTCGGCGGTCGTATAGTTTTTTTTAGTATAAATAGGAGAAAAAAATTTAGATAATCAAATTATGGTGGTGTGAAAACAATTTGGATATGATTTAACGAACTGTGTTTATGAGTTTAATGACTCGACTTCGACGATTCGGATTCAAGCTCCTCTTCAGATAAGGAATGACAAAATATGGCGATAAAATCCATACTTGAGGAACATAAGAAGAAAACGATGAAAATCGAGAAGAATAAGCACAATTACCAATCCAACGTAGCAAATAACTCGTAGAGAAAAAAAATATATTAGTATAGAATTTAAGAATAATAAGAAAATGAAAGAGAAACATGAAGCCTTATTAATCCGACATAGTAAACGAATTGTAGAGAGGTCTAGAAAATGAAAATAATATATGTAACAATGTTGATTTGTATGTTTAAATTTATGTAAGAATTTTTCTTTACTAAATAAGTAATTATTAGATTAAGTAAAGTATTTATTAATAGTTTGTAATTATATAATAATTGAAGTGAAGGTTGAAAATAAGGATGTTGAAAATAAATAAACACAAAAAGAAAGTACAACTAGAAACATACATAAACTTAGTTAAAAAGTACAAGTAAAAACACAAATAAACGTGGTTAAAAAATTCCAACTAAAAAAACACAAACTTAGTTAAAATAGTACAACTAAACACACACATAGACTTAGTTAAAATAATACAATTAAAAACATAACATAATTTTTTGAAGATTTTATCGTCTAGCTCGATATTTAGGAAGATGCGAACAATGTTTTTTGTTGTGCCCTTTACCTCTATAGTGGCCACAAAGCTTTGGTAGAACCGGCTCTCTTTGAAGATCATCTATATCAGTATGAATTCGGCTAGATTCAGGCCGACCCCTCAACTTTCTACGTAATTCTGGATTTGGTAACTAGTTGATGTAGGCCAATAAGTTTCATTTGAGGGATACTTAAATGCACAATTGTAAATGTTACGCATAGTGTGCAGGCTATAATAATCATCAACATATAAGTCAACATTAATGTGCATAGCGTGAGCGCATGAAATCTATAAACTTGAAATCTATCGTAATCACACAATCTTCTATTGAGATTACTAGTGTATGTGGTAGAATTATCTCCCTCATGTGGTCGAACAAGTGTTTGGACAACAAAATTAGAATAAAGTCTGGCAAATTATGAATAAACATTGATGTTGTATGTGTTTGATTATTTTGCATTGCATTCTCCAAATCTGGAGCCCAATTTCTCTCATAGATGATCATGACATTTATCTGTGCACTTTTGTCTGTCCAAACTTTACTTAACCATGAAGTAAGTTTCCATAACAATACTTGCTATCGGGAGATATTGAGTCCCTTTAAGCACTTAGTTAATGCATCCGGCAAGGTTGGTTGTCATATGGTTATAACGTCGACCCTGATCATCATATGCTTATAACCATATCTCCCTAGGGATTTCAACTATCATCAAGAAGTGTTTGTAGAGCCCATACAGAAAAGTCCTATCGATTTGAACTATTTGATTGTAAAATCAAAACTCTTCAATAGACGATTTGAAAACCCGAAACAAGTCACAAAAAGTTATTTTTCTAGGGATAACTTATCCCTCAAGCGTGATTACAGGAAGAGTATAGTATCTACCACTGGTTCAGGGATAAAAAATTATATTGCTTCCAGCAGACGTTGTAGCTCATTATATGGTTGATCTCAATCACCATACAACAATATCATTGTTTTCCTTTTAGCCATCAACGCCTTGCAGTAAGGTGAAATATAACTAAAGTATTCCAAATTAATGCCATTAACATTGAAACTGATACTCTTGGATTATTTTTGATCAAATGTTTGACATATGAGCATATGACATCCAAATCTAAATGTTTATGGTCTTGTGTCAACGAGCTCATTGTTCATGTGTGTTGTGCATCAAACCTTGTAACTTCCCACAGTATATTCCTTTGTAGGTATGAAACTTGTATCCTCTAGTTACAACCGACAGTATGGTGTATACACCTTACGAAATGTCTTTTGATCATACTCTGTGACATAGAATTAGAGATGAGATTTGATGCAATACTCTTTGATTGCCAAATGTGTCTCCTTTTTGTTTCAAACTGAGACTCAATCGTTAACTCATATGATCGTTTGTCTGAATAACCCCAGTTGGTAGCACATATTTCCAATATATCATAGATTTCAGGATTCTACATAGTATCATAGTTAATGTCATTCATTGCAACTGGATGATGATACCAATGTAAATCATGTTGAGGCGAGTTAAGGTTATGTTGGTGCTTAAAAATTTGGAGTATTCTACAATCATTGAAACCATGAAACAACTACCTCCTATACATCAGACTCAATATCTAAGCCTTGTCCCTCTAAATCAATCTAAAAAAATCAGAATCATTAGCTATTGGTGTGTCATTATCTTCCATCAATAGAACAATATCTTCATCTTCCTTGCTAAACTCAGAAAGGCTTTCACCGAACCGTCAACAAGGTTATCATCAGCAGCACTTGCATGTTGTTCATATGGTTTTGGTTCTTCTATTGCCAATGCTGCTACTAATGCGGTCAAAACATCTGATGCAATAGTGGTTTCAGCATAAATCTGTCATAGAGATATTATTGTTTCTGACGACTGGTGATGAACAGATGCACGGATTGAGACCATGCAATGTAATTCTCACCATTTAGAAGATGACAAGTAATGGACGAGGAAACCAAGTTGGAAGGAGACGGTTGAACAATAGAAGTTTCAGCCTCATATGACAGGTTGGACAAAGAATAGTATGCCATGACTGCCGAGGAATTGAGAGCTTGGGATATGTCACGAACTAGTAGGGAACAATGTATAAGTGACAATCAGAGATTTGAGGAGATCTGCGCTAGGATGATTATCGAATGGGCTATGCGGTGAGGAGACAGTGTTGGCCGGTCTAAAGTTATCAAAGGCTCAAGGCGCATCGAGGCGCAAAGTTTCCTGGAGCCTTGAGGCGCGAGGCGCATGAAAAGCGCGAGGTTCACGAAGGCAAGGTGCATGATATCCAAAAAATTGTAATACATGTATATTTTAATGCAATCAAACTCAAATATCATAGATACACAATATTAGGCTTTAATAGAGTTCATTCTCAAACTCAAAATACCAACCTAACGTCATAAAAGCTATCAATAAGCATAGTTAAGTACTAAGTTTAACAAAAACATCCAACATGCATAAACAAAACATCAAATAAAGTCACTGATAATCATCATCAAACATCAAACTCATCGTCATCATCGTCATCATCATCGTCAAGTGGTATGTCATCATCTTCCTCCTCATCCGTCTCACAATCCCCAATGTCTTCTTTTTCAGTGTCACTCTCCTTAGCATAACTTCATCATCTTCATCTACAAGGTGTGGTCTAGCTTTTTCCTTTCCTTTCGAGCTTGGAGAGGGCATCCTAGGACCACTGTCTATGTCTTTGTCCATTCCATTCCATCATCCATTCTTTCATAAAGCCTTAAAGGCAGCCAACTCGTTTTGCCTCTCCCAATGTCACCAATTTACTTCCAACATCAATCATAACCAACTTCAATAATTGAATGACTTTACAATAAATATTCTTCTTCATTTTCATATTAGAGTATCCAATTTTTTATTTTTCGATAAAATTATTCAAATTTTATTGTTAAAATCAATGACGGACGCAAGTGTTATCTAAGATGAGTAGGTATTCATCTTGAAATTCAAATTATTTTATATTAATTATTTATTTCATTAATAATATTCACCCTAAAATTTTATTCAAGTTCATCCCAAATAAATATTAAAACCCCTAATACTTTATAAGTTTGGTACAGTAAAATTAGGGAAAATGGTATGGAGATGAGCACCAAATAGTGAAAAAGCTGTAGTAAAAAAATGGTCAAAGGTGGAAGACATTCGTTACAAAAACATAAGCTCAAACTGAACTCAACAGAGTAAAGAAGAAGAAGAAATGTCGGATTCAGACCACCTTTTTTTGTACCACTGAAATCTTCTCTCATTTCCAAAGGATCCCACATGCCTTTTACTGAATCTCAGCCGTCCAAATTTACAAATTCCTTTTTCTCTTTAATATGTAATCTTTTAACTTTGTGTATTACACGATTATATCCTAAGAGGCACTAGATTTCAGGAACTACCCATTGTTTTGGATAAAGGGAGCATTCAAACTTGAGTAATTAAAAGTCAAAAACATCCTTCCACTTTTAATTGCTAGAATATATATATAGCATTAAAGCTTTTATTCCATTAAAATTAAGATAAATTCAACTAGTTTAAGCTATATTTAGAATTTATTATAATTGGTGAAGGGTAAGATGGACAATTAGAAAATCCAAAACTAGGTATTGTATATCCGACAATGAAAAAATGGAAGCGAGATCATCTTCTTGAAGGTTTAAAGCTTATTACCTCTGAATAGTTTAGATAGGCATCTTCTCCTCTCCAACAGCACTTCCGCTCAGCCGCTTAGATCAGAGCCAATTTAGCCTTGCATGATTTCCTCTGATTCTTAACCTTTATTTTTTTTGATAGAATTCTTAACCTTTATTTCAATATTTGCCTTTCCATCGTCCCAGTAAACAGAAAATTTGCCCAGAAACTCTTCGAGGAACCAAACATCACAATACGAATCCTTGCTCCCCATGTTGTTCATTACATGTCTTGTCCAATTTCATATCTGAAAAAAGAAAAGAAAAGAAAATGGGCTTTATTTGTTCTCTCTCGTTCCGTTGTGGTTAATGGGGAACGTGAAGTCGGGGGTGGTTGCAAAGTTTGCGTTTTTCCCACCAGATCCACCGACATCGCGCCTCAATTGCGCCTCACGCTTCAGAGCCTCGATGCGCCTCGCTGCGCCCATGTGCGCCTAGGGTACGTGCCTCGCTTCAGTGTTGAAAAAGCCCCGTTCGGTGAGCCTCTGTGCTTTTGCGCCTCAAGCGCACTTTTTACAACTATGGGTCGGTCAGTTAGCAACAGCGGCGGAACAGGTACTAAACAGCAGAACAGGAAGGGTTGCCGCTGTGATGAGAGTAACACTGGACTGGCGGCGCGACAAGAGCAGTACGACGAGGAGAGCAACGTTGCGAAAGAAGCGAAACTATTATGGTTGCGTAGCAAGGAAGATGGCACTACGAAGGGGCGGTGTTGCGAAGAAGGTGGCGTTGCAAAGAGGACGGTGTTGCAAAGGATTTCACAATTAGAAGGAGGGCAATGCACAGAAGGCACATTGTTGGTCGAAGAATGACGAACAACGGCGGCAACAAGGTGGGGATCGACGCCGGTGATTGATACCATGTAAAAACAGAGTTTTCCGGTTTTGGTAAACAAAGTTTTTTTATTATGAAATTATTTTTATTCAAAGAACAATTGCATATTACACAAGATGATACATGAGATTTTTTATATACATGAATTAAAGACCTAGATAAAATAGGAGTCATTTTTTCTAAAAATTAGGAGATAGTTTTAGAGGTAAGTTATGATTCAGAGTTTAACTTAAACACTACTTACACCCATATCACCAATAATACGAACGGGAGGTCGTATTTGATAAAAATTAAGCTTGAGTTGATTGAGGATTTTTTTCCTGAATTATCTACTTTAGACGATGAGGATGTGTCTGGAGATGCCTAGGAGGAGGACTCATCGGATTGTAGTTGGAGCAATGATCAGGATGGAAGAGTAGGTTTGGAAGTTCAACAGCCAGAACCGACTTCTCAAGAAAGGGTGGATGCTTGGACATGGGGAAATCGGACAGGTGGCAATCTAGGGAATTCTTTTGGAATTAATGATATAGGTGGCTCAAGACAGATTTCTTCTAGAGGCTTTTTGAGGGATGAGTTAATTGAAGGCATGGACCCCACTCAACAGGCTATGTCGGGAGAAGTTAATGAGGGTTGTGAAAGTGGTAAGCTTTTGGATGAAATATCTAATGGGTTTGAATCTCCTTTGCAAGTTATTAGGCCTAACAGGAGCCTTAAAAATTTTATTGAAGAAGAGAAGCCAGCCTCTAGGCCTACCAGTGGATCAAATGTTAAGAGGAGTGCACAAAGTGAAAGTGGGCTTGATAAAGATAAATTAAGTAACCCGTTAGGAGATGATGTTAACTTATTAGATGAGACGAGTCTCTCAGCCTCGGTCAATTTCTCCAAATGGGGTCTCCTTCATTGGTTCGACGTCGACTGTCTGGAAGAAGTGCGTCTGTCGGTAGAATTGAGAGTGGTTTCTTCGATCGAGTATATTCGAGATCAAGGAAGAGGGGAGACGAGAGCTGTAATGGTTAAGGAGTTTCAATTTCATCTCCGAAGAGGTTGAAGAAAGAGGTGAAGGCGATAGAATCTTGGAATGTCAGCAAGTTGTTGGGTGTCACTTTTAGAGGAGGGAAGAAAGCTTTAATGAGCAGAGCTATAACTGATTATTTTACACATTCCCTTGGCTAGTTGGCTGAAACAAAACTGAATACAAAATACAAAAGTCGCAGTAAAAAAATACCTTCCCTCCAATTCGAAAAAGTTCAGCAAGATCATGAAACTGTCAATGAATATCACCACAAAGTGTCACATGACTTCTCAGAGGCTGTAATTCAAAAGAAAACCAAATCAATGTTTACCCAGTTCAAGGGGGAGCAATCTCATCATTTCCAAAATTCACTGATAGATAAATAAATATAGACCATAGATGCCTGAAACATGAGCAAACTAAGATGATAAACCTGGACATTGATTTCTTTCATTAATATCTCCTTTGCCTTGCCGCATAATGCTCTGACCGAAACAAGACAAGATGAAACAAATGCTACTAAAAGTTAAATTCAGGAAGAAAACAGGAAAGGTAAGGAAGAGGCGAAGAGCTTCCATTAACCCAAATTAGAACAACACATTAAGGTGGAAAGAATTAAACACTGGTAGCAACAGCAGTTGAAAGCCTAAAAACACAACATTTTTCGAGCAAATACCGAGTTATTTCGAAATTACACACACACAAAAATCATTTTCTTTTCCTGCTTTTAAGAAGGGGGGAATGGATGCATTTTTTATTCATGAACACTAAACTACAATTTAAAAAGAAAAAAGAATTAGCACTAAATATTGCAATAATAATACATTCACAAATGAATATATATATATATTATTGAACTAATTCCTCGTAAATTAGGTACTTCATTGAAAAATAAACAGATCGTGAAAAGATAAGGTACCTGCTGTTAGAAAAGTGGCTTACACTGCATGAGCTGCGAATTCTGCTCATCGAGACCGGTGGTCGAATCTGTTGGTGACAAATTAGCGCGCATCTTTTATTTTTTCAGTTGGAAATATGGAGCCCTTATCCAGATTAGGGATAACCCTAACCCTAGTTTGGATTTAGATTTATTTTTTTGGGAGGTTCTAATTTCTTTTTTTTTTCTCTCTACACACTCTAATTCCGGCTCTCTATCAGGAAGACGAAGTGAAAAGGAAGGGCGCGTGAAGTGGGGCAGCGATAGAAGGTGTATGTCGTGAGTGGTATAAAGCCACGTCACACTACTTAACTGTTTATAAAGCTACTTCATCACACTTTTACCTTTAAAACCGGCAACTCCTATTAGCAGGTTACTTGAATTTTCTGGCTTAAATTAGGGGGGAATGATTAATTAATATTAAAATTATTTAATATTAAAATTATTTAATACTAAAATTATTTAATAATAAAATGATAAAGTCTCGTGTTGTGAATGAAAATCATTAAGACTATCAATTGAGTAAGTTTGAATAGAATATTATTCACGGACCAAATGACATACCTTATAATATAATTGGATAGATCAATCACAGTATAAATATAGTCAAAGACATGCTTTAACACATCAGTGTGAATGTGGAACATTAGAGCAATCTTCTTTTCTCAAAACCCTAAGGCGACGTTTGGTTCGCTGGAATATTTATGAGAGAATTAGAATCTGTGAAGGAATTTGAATATGTAGGAATTGGAATCTGAATCTGAAACCTATTTGGTTGGCAGGAAATTGAATTAGAATCCAATTTCATATTTTGTTTTGTTCCCAGACATGTCAAATGAATTTGATTTCAGTAATGTAAAATTACAGAATTGTCTTTTTTTTGCTTAATTTTAGTTTATTTTATAACTTACGTGTAACAATATATTATAAAAATTTAAAAAAAATATTAAAATTTTATTTTATTGATTGATTATTCATTTCAATAAATTATAAAAAATCATACTAATAAACATCATAAGTTAAAATCATTCCAATTAGGGATGGTCGTGGGTCGGGTTGGGTTGGATTTTTGGTCCACCCGACCTGACCCGAGAACAAGGGAACCTCCACCCAAGACCCGACCAAAATAAAGTTTCACCCGACTATATAAGGTAAAATTATATATTTTTTTCGGGTCGGGTCGGGTATTTTTCACCCTAAACCCGACCCGAACCCGAATTCTTTTTTTTAAAAAATCCGACCTGATCCCCATTTTTTTTTATAAAAAACTCGACCCGACCCGAATACCAAAAGATTGATGAGGGTAGTATGGTCAAATTTCACATTTCCTCCTCCAAAAGATTTCAATTCTATCATGTTATGGATGTAATTTACTTTCCCTCCCTTGATGGAATTGGATTCCAATTCCCCCTTTGAAAACTTGAACCAAACATGGGAAAGTAGTGGAATTGGATTCCAGAATGATTAATTAATATTAAAATTATTTAATAATAAAATGATAAAGTCTCGTGTTGTGAATGAAAATCATTTAGACTATCAAATGAGTAAGTTTGAATAGAATATTATTCACGGACCAAATGAAATACCTTATAATATAATTGGATAGATCAATCACAGTATAAATATAGTCAAAGACATGCTTTAACACATCAATGTGAATGTGGAACATTAGAGCCATCTCCTTTTCTCAAAACCCTAAGCTGACGTTTGGTTCGTTAGAATGTTTCTGAGAGAATTATAATCTGTGAAGGAATTTGAATATGTAAGAATTGGAATCTTAATCTGAAACTTATTTGGTTGGCAGGAAATTGAATTAGAATCCAATTCCATATTATGTTTTATTCGCAGACATGTCAAATGAATTTGATTTTAGTAATGTAAAATTACAGAATTGCCTTTTTTTTTGTTTAATTTTAGTTTATTTTATAACTTACGTGTAACAATATATTATAAAATTTTTTAAAAATATTAAATTTTTATTTTATTGATTGATTATTCATTTCAATAAATTATAAAAAATCATATTAATAAACATCATAAGTTAAAATCATTCCAATTAGGGATGGTCGTGGGTCGGGTTGGGTTGGATTTTTAGTCCACCTGACCTGACCCGAGAACAAGGGAACCTCCACCCGAGAACAAGGGAACCTCCACCCGAGACCCGACCAAAATAAAGTTTCACCCGACTATGTAAGGTAAAATTATATATTTTTTTCGGGTCGGGTCGGGTATTTTTCACCCTAAACCCGACCCGAATTCTTTTTTTAAAATCCGACCCGATCCCCATTTTTTTTTTTATAAAAAACCCGACCCGAATACCAAAAGATTGATGAGGGTAGTATGGTTAAATTTCACATTTCCTCCTCCAAAAGATTTCAATTTTATCATGTTATGGTTGAAATTTACTTTCCCTCCCTTGATGGAATTGGATTCCAATTTCCCCTTTGAAAACTTGAACCAAACATGGGAAAGTGGTGGAATTGGATTCCATTCCCCCTAATTCCAAGGAATTCTAGCGAACCAAATGCCACCTAAGTTTTTCAAATTAATGGTAATCATTAGTTTCTTTTCGTCTGCGCCAAGCGTTCTTCCTATTGTTGTTGCTATTAAACACAACCTCCATCACATTCAAGAGTTTCATCATCCTTTTCATTCAAGTCTCAAACACAATCGAAACATCTTCATCATCCAAGTTAAACGTTGAGTATACTTCATATATAAAAAATGTGATTGATGAAAGGGAGAAAATGTAGAATTCTCTTTGTAGCTTTCCTCCTCCTAATCAGATATCTCTTCTAAAGTATTCATAGCAGTTTGTTCCTGTTAGTTATCTTTTTAATTAATTTTAAGTAGTTGGTCCATTTCCCTTCATCTATTCATTTTCTTTCCCATATGTTCTTATGCAGAGATCCATGGGATAGAGCAGAAGTTCAAGGAAATTAACAATGCATACGAGGTAAGAGTCCCATGGTCTGTTAATTAACAATCCATATGTTTCGGTGAACGTGATTTTCGAAGGGAAAGCTAATTCGGTAAGAATCTGGATTACTCCGGTGGAGGAGGTGACAATGGTAGTGCATATGGAATTCCTAACAATTATGGTGGAGGATATATATATATATATATATATATATATCTCATTTTCAACAATATATTTTTACTATTTTCCATTTTTATCTGGATTTTAACATAGGACATGCTTTAATGAAGGATCCCATAGGATTGATATGCTATTGTTGAGAAAACACTGCTGTTGTTGTTGGAATAGTTTCAATTACACATTTGATCTTTAACTACTGAGTCAAGTTCTTGATTAAAATTTACATTATATTATATATAGTTTAAACTATACTTAATATATCATGTATAACCACCGAGTTATCTCAGGAAAACAATAGAGCATGAGTTTAAATATACAAATCACAAGAATTAATACAAAATAATATAATATTATTATGTTAATAAAATACTTGTAGACTTATTGCTTTCGTGTATAAGAAAAGGATACTGAACAAGTAAAAGAAATGCAATCTTTTTTTGGATTTGTAAAGGAAAGCATGCAATTGCATGATCCAGGACTAATTATACTGAACCTCTGGACAAAAAAGAATGATTTCTCTATGAAACAAAGATGTGTGACAACATATTACTACAAAGCAGCAGATCACAGCAAGGATCCCCCCAATGAGATGCCTTGAAAAAACAATTATGTAGAAGCATGATCTGTGCCATTCTTACATTTCTACTTTTCATCTGTATCCTCTCCGCCATTTCTTGGCCATCTTCCAACCACCACAACAGTTAACGACACTAGCGTCTCGGCCTAGGCACGCACCGAAATGCAGCTAACAGGGCTATATGATCAGAGGACCACTCTGGAGAAGGAAGTGCTGTGTCTTTCCTCGACCTACCATCATCCAAGAGTTCCAATAATGACTCGACTGTTAACGAGTCCGCTGAAACCACAAATCAAAAGGGGTGGTTATAAGCAACTGCAATAACTTAGAATTCACATCTGGCATTTAAGCACAAGGCATTCATGAAAAATTAGAAATTTGGACACCAATCAATTGTTTTGGAAAAGAGAAACACACCTGTGTAAAATATGTAGTCTAGGGTGCCTCTAAAATCTCTTGTGAAATTTGTGAATAAAGGTTCACCGGTTGAAAGGTCCATTCTTCTCCTGTGATGCTCCAGACCAGGACCAACACCTCTTACAAAGGACGAGTAAGCACTAACCTGATTGAAAAACTTTGGAGTCAAAAGCTTGGTCTATGGTATGTTTTCAACAGAAGGTTGGTTCCTTTGTTCTCTCGAAACCAATATTGAAGCATCCTTAATGGTGATGGTAAGGCTAAAAACATAAGCAAACCCTCGAAGAAATTTATCTATATTCAATAGTTTTACCAGAGGTAACTGATGAGTCAACTTGCGGCGAGGTTGCAAAATCCCAAGAGGATCTACCAGTAAATCTGTATGCATTGGATCTACCTTTCCAGTAGCAAGAAGTGAATGGGGTGCACTGCAGAACATTTGACATTGCCTTAAACAGTGCAAAACATCAATGCCAATAAAATGGACTGGAAGCACTAAATAATCTAACACCACGTAAAGGATAACATGTTTACCTTCCTGGAACTGAATTAAAATCCCCCGATACCAACATTGCAATGTCTCCACTAGCAGCTATTTTCTCCAGTCCCTTTAAGAGAGTATGCACCTGATTTAAGATTAAAAGGACCAAAATGAGTTCAAATTTTGAATTATAAAAGCATGTGAGTAATTGTACATGTTAGAGAAAAATCAGAACCTGCCAGATTTTAACATCCTTGTGCTCATGTGGAACATTTAAATGTGTGTTTGCCTGTATTCCAAAACCAGGAACAGTAGGAAAAAGTTACACAATGCACCTAGAAATTATAAAAGAATGGCAAAAATATCATCATTTAATCAAGTTACTTTCATTAGTTCTAAAGGATAGACCAACGTACGCTCAACACCTCGATGCCATGGTTCAAAAAAATAATAATAAAGGACTAGATAGGGGGGGATCAAAACTCAAGCTAATAATCAAACCAAAATAATTCAAATAGGGAGTTGAGTCGTAACAAAATACGAGGAAGTATAACAGACTCTTATACTTCTAATTGCTAGAATCTGATTGTTATTCACAAGCAAGCTCCTCTCATAGACCTTGTTTTGTTGCAAAGCCAAAAACATTGACAACAAAAAATAACTGACACAAAGGCTTACCATGACATCTTTTCAATGATAAATGACATGATTTGTCGTAAGACAAACTGGCATGTCCTATAGAAATGTTAAGGCTCTAAATAGGTCGAGATGAACCAATCTACTAACCAGACCAATTGACAGGCTAGATAGCAGATCAAGCACTTTCAATTTTATGAAACACATAAGCTACTTAATCAAACCTTGGTAGACCATTTTGCAAATTCTTTACAGATTGTATGGGACAAAAGTAAAGTAAAATAGCCCATTACAAATAAAAATATTATTCATATTTTTTTATCATAAATAATGCACCAAACAAAAAATTATGCTAATTACAGCTGACACAGTGATAAGTGTTATGCTAGGGATATACAACATAGAATAATACAATTAGCAATCCTTACCACACAAAGAAGTTGCCGCTTCCCAGGATTTTCAGCTCCCTGATTACTAAACTTTGCTTCCAAAACCACAATTAGTGCAACATTATCCTGCAGACAATTGAGTTCCCATGGTATCATTAGCATTAGAAGAAATATTTACCATAAGAGAATGGACTAGAATCAAATTAGATGCAAATATTTATTACATTAACCAAACGATCTGAAACAGCTTTCTTCTGAGTAGTTTCAACAGCAATCTCAACCAACGAATGAGCACCCTTATTAAGTTCAACCTGCACAAAACAATATTTACTTCAGCACAACAAAAAAATGTATAAATCCACATACCATGGTAGAAATATTCCCAAACCTCGTATTTTTTGACATGTGAAAATCTATCTCTACGGAAAAATATTGCACAGCCATCAATTGTATGTATATTTCCACTGTAAACCTGACGCTATTAACACATAAATTACACACAAAAGAGCAATATTATAAACCAGTGAAATGAGAATCGCGTAATTCTTAGGCAAACCTCATTTGTCTTTCTCTTGTATAAAGCTTGATATCCATGTTTGTCCAGCTCAGGAGCAAAAACTTCCTCAAAATGGTTGTTTTGCACCTGCAAAGATGAGAACAGTTGATATTAACACAAATCACCTAGAGGACCAAAGGCAGTAATATTAGATGAGTCTACCAACAGAAATCTGGCATTCAAAAAGGTTTCTTCATGTTTAACTAAGATCTCTTCTTAGTTCTTTAAAACAACCAACCTTCATTCCTATAAAAAGTAAAGGGTAAAATAATTTTCTTTTAGCATTACTAACTATATATATATATATATATATATCATCTAAAAGGAGATGCAACTGAGCATAAACCCAAATGAAAAGTTGTAAGACTGATGGAAGTGCAGATGAGCATCTCCAAGCAGAAATATAACGGTAATAATTGAACATAACAGCAATTATTTGTCATGCACTAACATTAACTGAGTATTACCTCCTGAAGACAGACAATGTCTGCACGATAACTAACGATTTCCCGCAACAAATTCTGCTTGCGATATTGCCAAGAAAGAGCCCATGAAGGGCAATAACTGTATAACTCACTGCTGGCATATGAGTCAGACAAGATGTTATATGAGAGAACAGTAAAACTTCCAGAGGATGAAATACGACCATCTGAATGTAGATTTCCCGACATATCATCTCTTCTTACTGGGATCAAGCGCCGAGGACTAGGGGAAGGTGCTGGAATAACACGAGATGTCAAAAGAGTATAGGGATCTCCAACATGAAGTTTCGTTTCAGCATTAACAACAATGCAGTCGAACTTGAGAACATGGCCAATATCGTTGGCTTTTGGTGTATATGTTTTAGAGCATCCAACTTCAATCCAGATTTCACCATCATCCCTTTGCGTAACTGCAGCTGGATGAGGTTTTGAAACATTTCCCAATCTAGTGCTTGACGCAGAACCAGTTGAGCTGCCAGATCCTGAGCTATTGGAACAGCTAGATGTCACTACCTCCTCATTTACAGCACTTGCAGCACGGTCATGCAGAACACGGTGATGCTTCCATGCATCTAAGAAGCATTTTGAAGAGCAATGGTAACTTTTAGCAACAGGTATTTTAGCCTTAACACAAGCTATGCACTGCAACGTGGCTAGCTCAGAGGGATGTACACTACACACAGCAGCTTTCTTATCAATTTTTACCCGAAACCTGCAAAACAGACACAAGGAACACCATAAATAAAACAGGTAGCATATACAGAATTTTGATCCAATCAGCTTATCACAATAGTGAACGCTTGCAACAGGTGCACAAGATACAGTCAAAATAACACATTTTCCAAAATAAGAATCCAGCAATTACCATCTCAAAGTTTAGTGAAACTACAATGCACCCAAAGCATGTCTACATGCGTCAATCAATAATACAGATAGCATTCTATAGCGGTTAAAGTTTGTCTTAAAATAAGAAGAGATCTAAATATCATCCAAGGACTGAATAATTAATAAATTTAAATTTATCATATTGCTACATGCAACTATGTCAAAACCAAAGTATAGGGTTGAACAAAATAACATACAAGGAGTGAATAATCAATAAACTCAACTTTGTATTACAAATCATCTTTATCATCATTATTAATACATGTAATTGATGTCAAAACCAAAGTATAAATTTCACCAGGGTTTCAAATCAAGTTCGCGGTCGCGTTTTCGGTCATTTCGGATTTACCGTGATTGTGGCCGTCGCGGGCGCTATTGCGGGTGTAGCGGGTAACTCGGACGGCAGCGAAACTGCTATTTCGCGGACGAAATCACGTTTTCGGACCATGATTTGAAACCCTGAATTTCACCTAAATGCTATACAAGGACAGAACAATCAATAACCTCAACTTCGCATTTTACTTATCATCTTTATTATATTACCACTACATGTAACTGATTTCGAAACAAAAGTATAAAGTTCTAGGATCTTTTGTGATGAAACATAAGGTAACCATTATAACATTCAATTTTCCATCCCAAGTTACTTCAACTAGCAAAAGCTTGATACAAGGACAGACCTAATGATTGTTGTGCACCTGATATTTTGTCTGCATGGCATTTTCTTATGATCAAAATATTAAGTTGACACGTTCTTACAAGCTTCCACAGACATAGTGGTGCCAGGTAGCCACAAGAATGAAAACAACTAAAGAAATTATTGTTATTGATGGAAGATTTTAGCTATGGCATATTAGTCCATTTAAGAAAAGGCAGCATATGAAGACAAGTTCAATTGCAACAACTTTAGCGGTTAAAAATCAGCAAAAACCCAATCCAAGTAAAACCAAACAAAATAGCATGAAACTCAAACGCCTTGACCGGAAGAAAAAAACTACTTAGGCCTTCAGAAATTACAAAATCCACGTCACTAAACGTACCAATAATCCAGCACACAGAGTAACAAAAAATCACACAATCTCCAAATGCACAGGTGGAAAGGCTTCACTTGTAAACCTCAATTCCATACATCCCTTATGGAACTAGTGACCACTGAAGAATAAAACATTAAAATATGAGAATTTTCTCAATGCAATTACTTGCCGCCTACAAAAATCAGTTCACACATCCAAGAAAGTAGCTCAACATCCAATTGACCAACATAACAAGTAACCAAGATACATAAAACCAAAAATATATAATAAAGAAAAAAGAAAGAAAGACTTAAATTGTTAATTAGCCATAAAGAACTTCATTCATTTACTTAAAAAACTGAATCAAATTAGCTTACGCATTGGCATACCCCCGGCACCAATCAAGAAACAACTAAAGATGACACTTCGAAGGATTTAAAAGACTTACCACTTGTACCTCAAGAAGTAACCATCAAGAGGAGCGGCCTGGGTCACATCATCGGTGGTAACGGTATTGTTGGGTCGGCGAAAGAGCACGTAAGGCTTGATCTCGCAACCAACAATTGGTATATCAGAAGGGAAGTGCATCCGTGCCACACCCGCGGCCCTGGCCATTCTTCAACTTCTTGGACTTTCTTTGCCGGTCACAGTTAGCAACGGTCACCGCTTTGTAAACCGATCAAATTCAATCCTACACTAACAGTAGCAGGCAGCAGAACAAGAAATTACATCGAAATGACTTGTAATCTTATCAAGCGGATTCCAGGCGAACCCGCCACTCACACGGCACGAAAATTTCTTGAATTTGGGGTTTGGGGATAAGAAATGATCGGAGGAATGAAACGACGAGAAGTTAGGATTTTATTTGAGAGGGAAAGAGCGGGCGGAAATGAACAGATCGAATGATTACTTAGGGTTTTACAGAGGAAGTGAAAACGGAGTCTTTATTTATAGGCTTAATTAGCCTTGTATAATTCAAGAAAAGTTATCTTTCTTCTTGAACGATGAAACCGAATGTAAACTGCAAGGTTAGTTATTTTCTCGTTGTTAAATTAAAGACGTCATATATAAATAACGAATAAGTAATGTCCAAATTATTTTTAACTTTCAACCATAGTTTAATATAAGATTATATAAGAGACAATATAAATTATAAGTTATTCGAGTTCGATTCGGTTAATGTTTGATTAATGTTTAATTCTAATGAACTCGGCTTGAATTTTAACGAGTCGAAGCAAATTATTTAATATCCAACTCGAAAAGATCGTGAACAACTTGAAAAAAATAACATATTAAAATTTAAATTAAATTATTAATAACATTAACATTTATATGTTGTTATCTTTTCAAAGATTACAATTTAAGGTTTGTATGTACTTAAGATTCAAGTTTAAATTTGAGTATGAGCTTCAATTAAATTAAGTTTAAGAATGTTTCAAGCTTAAATTTTTTTAGCTTCAATTTTTAGTTTCGAGATTGAGTCGAGCTTGACAATTTTAAACTCAAAAAAATTTTCGAGTAGAGCTCAACTTCAAAATTTTCAAGGTGAGTTGAGATTAACAATACTTGAGCTGAACTTGAGTTATTTACAACTCTAATTTTATGGTAAGTAAAAAGACATTTGAGGTTCTTGTACTTTTGGAAAAAAATATTAATATGACCCTCGACTAAAATTTTAAAAATATAAAAGTAGTAAAAATATTAAATTATTAAAAAGTTAAATATATATTTAAAATACTAAAAATACTATTAAAAATTAAAAGCAATGATATATATATCATAAATTATAAGATGATAATTTATAAATTATTAAAAATAAAAATATTTTTAAAAAATATATTATACATAATATATACATGTAACATATAGTTATATCATCAATATTTATATAAAGTATTTTTACTATATTAGTCGAAACTTACAAATTTTGTATTTAAATATAATTAGGAAAAATAATAAGTTTTTCATATCAATACACACATTTAATCATACTACGAATAATCCAGTTAGATGTATATATTATGTATAATATATGTTTTTTAATGTTTTTGATTTTTTAATAATTTATATTTTATCATTTTATAACTATGATATATATTTAATTTTTTTAATTTTTAATAGTATTTTTAATATATATTTAATTTTTAGTAAATTATTTTTCTTTTTAATATTTAATATTTTTATTTTTTTAATATTTATATATTTAAAATAATTAAATTTTAAAAAATTAAATAATTCCCTGAACTTAAAAAACAATTTGACCCTCGAAAAAGACCAAAATCCCAATATGCCACGTCAACCGCCACCATGGATCGTCATGTCAGCATCATGAACCAACAAGTCAACACCGTAATGGTCAACGACAAAAACTTTAGATAAAGGGTCACATTGGGTTTGTTTTTTGAGTTGCAGGGCTACATTAGATGAAAAAAATAATTTGAGGGCAATATTTTTTTTTAAAAGTACAATGGCCTCATATGCATTTTTGCCTTTATAGTATCTAATTTCCCTCCAAATATTTAAATTTTTAAGCATCATTTTTAAAAGGCTTAAATGCACCATTGCCCCCTAAATTATATAATTTGTACTGAATTCACTCTTATAGTATATTTTGGGACGTTTTGCCATCTAAAGTTTAAGTCGTTATCTCATTTGTCCCAAATCGTTAATTCCGTTAAAAAAACATGGATAAATTATATATTTAGTCACTCAACTATTAATGCGGTTTAGTTGTAGTCACTCAACTATTTTTTCTCAAAATTATCACTAAACTTAAGTTCTTGTTCCATTTTGGTCACCTAATTCGATTCAATTTATTATTCTTCTTCTTTTTTAACAATTCCTACCTACGGGAGGGGAAGATGATTTTGTTCATAATTGATATTGAACTCACAACATAGAGGAGAAAGAAGATATCAATCGAGAGCTTCAAACCACCGGCTTTAAAAATTGTTAACATTCGATTTATTCCTTATATTTGTAATATATAAAAATTCATTTATATCATATACTCTTTTACTTAATTTATAATAATAAATAATATTATAACATAAATAATAAATAACATATTCATCAAGGAAGAAGTATAATATTCAATCATAAGTGCATGGAAAAGAAAGTTCTATTTGATTTGAGATGGATCAACCATGCCCATTAAATAGTAGGACTCGGTAGCTTTCATGCAAGGGAAATTCCAGATAAAATCGTTTTTGTCACACAAAGTTCATCTATTCCTCCACAGTTAAGAGCATGGATGAATCTAGGGTCGGGCACAGTGAATGGTAGCAAATAAAATTTGTTTTTGTATTTGAAATTTTATAATTTTATACATAAAATCTTGTGTCTGTCCTTGATTAATAGCAACCGCAAGTGATAGTAATGAAGATTGAATCAAAAGTTTGTTCTAACAGTGAATGGTAGCAGATAAGGAAAGGATCATCAATGAGACAAGACTATCACTGAAGTGCAGACCAATTATACTGCAACAGTAAAATGTATGCATTCGTCAATATGTCCATAAAACAATCATCTAGGGCACCTCCATGGCTAAGGAGCATAATCAAATTCCTTGAAAGACAATTTATCTTTGGTTGATTGCTGCAGGAGATGACATAAAATATATCACCCATAAGTGCAGCAAAAGAAAAATAATAACTGCTCAAAGGGAAAAAAAAAAAGATGATGTGCAAGTATATTAAACAGAAATCAGATGAAGGTGGATATGCTCCAATGGTGCCACATATAGTTGATCTCATCAAACGAGATTGGACGGTCCAATTGGTTCTCGTCCCTAGAAAATGCAATCGGGTAACTGACGTTATGGCGAAATTGGCTTGGAAACGTTCTTTTGGCATCTGCTTCATTCATGATCCGTCCCAGGAAATAACTCATGCTTTTTATTATGATGCTCGAGTTGTTTGAGTTAATGGCATTGTTCGCCACTTAATAGTTTGTTTTCTTTTCATTTAAAAAAAATCAGATGAATGGCACAATGGCAAGTACTTGGTGTTAACTACTTCCAGTGAATTTATCGTGTGGTTAGTTGATGGATTCGAAGGGAAAAAAATAGATGATGTATATGTTATTTATTATTTATGTTACAATGCTATTCAGATAAACTACATGATTGATCATTTTCGTTTAAATTTTATACATTTTTTTAGTGAATTCAAAAAATATAATATTTGGTCATTTTTCATTTTTTATTTAATTAATATGTAGTCACTAAGGGTTAATTGTCGTTAGACGTACAACAGATTGTTGATGTGGCATAATGAATATATAAAGTTAAAAATGAATTGCATAAAACCTGTGATTTTCGGGTTTTCAATAAAATATGAACCGAATCACATTTTGTGGGCTTTTAAAATCAAAACCGAAACCAAATTGCATAAAACTTGTGATTTTCTATTCGACTTTGAGGTTTTTGAATGTTCACTATTTTTCAAACTCAACATCCAAAAAAAAGTAAAGTTAAAGCTTAAATAGAGTGCAAATATACAATTTAAATTCATAAAAAATATTATTATTTTTAAGATTTTATTTATTTAAGTTTGTCTTATAATAAATTTAAAATAAATTTGTTTTGAATAATTATTTTCTTTTATTTTTCTAATACCATTTGATTTGGAACAAACAATTTTCATATTAAAAAATGAAAACCGAATAGAATTGTATAATTATATTTTTAAAACAAACCTCAAAATAAAAAACCCGAACTAAATCATATAACTCAGTTCGGATGGATTTTTCGATTTTCTTGGTTTCGTTGTTCAGCCCTAGAATAAACTACACAAACGATCACTAATATTTGAGTAAATTTTTGTTTTCCTCATTAAAATTTCAAAAATAATAACTTAATTGAGATCATTTTTCAATATATATCCAAAAATAATTAAAACCAATGCGGAACCCACCAACACAAAAGGAAGCCGCCGAAGGATTTTCATTGATACATACAAATATATGCAACAAAAAGACCAGCTTAATAAAAATCTGAACTCAATCAGATTCCGAGAAGGCGAAAACATGGGGTTCATTTATTAGGCTTAGCCTAATTCTCGCATCAATGAATTTGCACAAGTATGGGAGAGAATAAATATAATTCACCTCAACTGCATTTCAACAACACCAGTTGTTACTTTTCAAACTTAAGTGGAAAAAACGAAAACGTATTCAAATATTAGTGTTTACATTTTTTAGTTTTATATATTTATTGTGTCAAGTTGACAATCCGTTAAAAGTTTAACGAAAATTAACTCTCAGTAACCACATCTTAATTAGATAAAAACGAAAGTGATCAAATATTATTTTTTTAATTAAGTGAAAAAAATATACAAAACTTAAACAAAAGTGATCAATCTTGTAGTTTACCCTGTTATTTATTATTATAAATTAAATTTATGTATCAAGTACAAAAAATATGTGATATAAACGAATTCTTATATACTACAAATTTAAAAAATAAATTGAACCAAATTGGGTGGCTAAAATGGAACAAAAACTTAAGTTTAGTGATAATTTTGAAAAGCAAATAGTTGGATGATCAAAATAGAACTGCATGAATAGTTGAGTGACTAAATATGTTATTTAATCATTTTTAATTGAGTTAATGATTTTGCCGAAACAATTATTTTGAAGGGGAAAAAAGGGGTCTCGTTTCGAAATAATTTTTTGATGTTTGATTAATGATAAAATGTGGTTCGAGGAGTCGCCACCAATCTTTGATTAGGGAGTGATTTGGCACCCAAAACAATATTTTCCATTTTAATAAAATGTTAATTTTAGTTAAAACAACAAACTTGCAGTCTGCGTTACCAAAATTCGAGTTCGGGAGTCGATTACTTATGGGGAAAGATTAGCACTCCCAACGCCTTAAATCGATACCTAGTCGATTAATTAGTTGTCTTTGCA